CCCCAAATACCTCGAAAATGATACCCATATTGCATTTATTCGAAAAATCGTGCCCGCCATCTTGGATTTAGAAATGAGTGCTATATTCGTAATGAGCACCTAGAATACCTCGAAAATGATTCCCGTATTGCATTTATTTGAAAAGTCGTGTCCGTCATCGTGTTCAGATATAAATGCCATTTCTATAAGGATTACCAAAAATATTTTTTTTTAAATTCTGGCCACTTGACATTGTCGATCGACAAAATCGAGCACATTTGTAGGCACCTGATCGACAATGTCGGGCAAATCTGTAGGCACCTTTAACTTAATGATGATTTAAGCAAGATATAATTTCCCCACTTTTGAGGGAAATGTTATTCCATGGCATCATTATTTGTATATTTGTGTGCGTGCCGATGAGCGTACATACAAGTTGCTTACGCCTACATGAATTTGGTTTTTGCCTCACTTGTGACATTTCGTTTGATATGAAACTATCATTCTGTGCGTTATTATTCTAAGTATAAGTAAATAAACGTGATTGTTTACTAAAAACTACTTACGTCTTTTTTATTTATAAACTTCGGGTTTAATAAGACAAAATAGGTATAAGTCCTTTGCAAACAACTCGAGTCGTTTAAGTTTTTCAAGTCGTTTAAGTCTTTTAGTATAACGACTGAGTCTTATTGATAAAAACTCGAGCCCCCAGACTTAATTTTAGAGTCGAGTCCTGTAAAATGGAGTCGAGTCGTTATAAAACGCCCTAAAAGACTGAGTCTCTTCAATCAGTAGTTATAATCTTGAAGTAATGTTCGAGATAAATTTTGTTCAATAGAAGTTTCAAACTGCTTGAAACCAACATAAAAATTACCAGTAAATAGTTATTTATAAAACTGTGTCATCGCTAATGATTTTTTGGTTTGAAGGGAGATATTGCAAACAATTGAGTTCGAATAGTAATTCAAGTTCAGAATTGGAAATTGATGATGGATGAGGCATGTAGTCAAGTAATATAAATATAATTTTACAATTTTGTTTCTTTTTATCTACTATCAATGGCAGCAAGTATTAATTGATATCATAATTTTAATTATTTTATTCATAAATCATACATGTCAATAGAGACTTTGCGAACTTTGTAATATTTGCCTAGGTAATTATTATTTTTACATACATAAATTATATACTTACCTATTTAAATTCCAATTATGCGAGCAGGCCTTGGCCTGAGCTTGCGTATAATAAGCACTGACAAAAAATGTTCTTTACACCTGCTATATTGGTTGCCCAGTGACATTTTGTTATTAAACATTCTATATCGAATTTTGCTGCAGTATAGTCTTTATTATGATTCTACAAAGATATTTAAAAAATCTCTACAAAGATCTTTAACAAAACATATAGGAGAACTTCGACAACTCGATAACTTGACCCGTAGCTCAGTTGGTAAGAGCAATACTACAGTGCAGTATGGTCGTGGGTACCATCGGATCGAAAAAGTTTGATCTTTAACAGAAGTAACTATCACCGCGTTTATATTACTGACTGATGTTAAATTCATATGTTCATAATTTATTTTTTAGTGTGTTAAAAAGCATGTGTAAATGTATAGATATATGTATATTCAATAGGTTTGTACGAGTATGCCAAATGTTTGGCCGGACATCGTGAAACTATACTTGTTTTGTCACATGTTAACTTCAATGCAACCTAAATTGAATAAAAGAATTGCTAATTTTCAGCTTTTGATGATTGTTATAGTTTTTAGCGTATAGTTAGATTTGCCTTTAAAAATTATGGACAAGAGAAAATTAGTACTTAGTACACAGTTTTCTTCCTCTAATTGTCGGTAAATTAAAACTTAACAATTTAACCACCCGACTTTGGCTTAGTAGAGAATAATTCAGGCTATCAGCACAATAGTGGTGTAACCCGTATACTTTTTTTTCTACAATAGGTATAATTTTTTAACCGACTTCAAAAAAGAATTCGACTATATGTTTTGTTTTGTATGTATGTTACGAGATAACTTCGCGGCATTTGTGAACCGATTTTGATGATTATTTTTTGTCGGAAAGAGCGTACCTTAGATGTGGTCCCATTTAAATTTGTAGATGACTTGAAGTCTGACTTTTGAAGTCAGTTTTTTAGTACTCTCTACTGATTAAATTATGCTAAAGTACATAAATATTTAATATTTCAATATTGCTATTTGCATGTATAAAAATAGGCAGAGGTCACGGGTTCGATTCCCGGGCCGGGAGATTTGTATGGCCTACATTTATTTCTCTCGTGAGTTTGGGTGTTATTTGTGGTTGTCTATGTGTATGTACATAGCACCCGCGCTACACACAGCGCATGCGAATCGCAGAAAACCAGTTGTTATAGTCCATTTGTTGAGGTACTTAACTAAATGTAAACAATATATAACATAAATATAATACTTTACTCATCAATAGGCATGACATTTCACATAAAGCTAAGTATTTGTATTTTGTATTTGAAGGTAAGTAAAAATCATTTTATAAATGTACAATTCATTAAATAGACATCTCAAGATTGTTTACATTTAGTTTAGTAGGCACCTAAACAAATGGACTATAGTACAGCAAGTCCATAATGATTATCAAACGTTATATCGTAGTTATGTATTATACGTAATGTTACATGGTACGTGAAGCGTGACAAAAAATGCGAAGAAAAAGTATTAAATCGGAAATTTGATTTGATATAGTACAATACAATCAACTTTTTCCTTAGAAGTGATCCGTACCCTGCAATGGGACGTGTTTTCTTTTTTATGTGGTAAGTGACACGAATGTCCATAACAGTTGCAGTTAACCTTTCAAAACTGGACCGCAGTAATGGTCACATTACTGCTTGGAGGCAGAATTAGGTAATGTGGCAGAACTTCTCTAGACTCTTTTCACAAGGAGCTCTACTGCTACGGAACGCGTAATGTTTATAATAATAATAGCAGTGTTTTTTTAGTGTAATGTAGATTGAGAAGCCTTGTCCAATACTAGGGGCAGTGACCCAATCGTTGTCGACATTGAAACGAAAGGGTCAATGATTACTTGATAAGCAATCAATGGATGCGGGTTTCTTTTAGGCCCTTATGTGTTATGTTCTTGAGTATTTTAGAACTTTAATCAATCAGGAGCTCTAGAAACTGACTCCTGTGTCTGAATAAAACGGTGTCTCTAACGCGCAGCTGTGATTCATGCACCATTTATTTAAAATTTAAGTTTATAAAAAAATGTATAATGTTTTATAAAAATTTTAAAAAAACAAATACCAAAATCCTTTGGGACACCTTGCGTCTCTAAGACGCATGACAGGTTAATTGTATTTTAATTGTTTTGTGTATATTTTTTTAACCATTACAACTTATACAAGGAATATCAGCAAGGGCTTTGTACTTTCTATTGCTGTCTTTTTCGAGTTTAGTATTAGCTCTTAATGAGGTTAAATTCATCTCTATAAAAATCCTTATAACGTTAAATTGTCCAAGCATGGCCAATATGCCGTATAACTTTTAACGTGGTTTTTTTATTTAATTTATTTATTTCCTAACAATAGTGATTGTGTTGGAAAAGAATATATTAAAAAACTTAAATCAAATACAAATGAGAGATCAAACACAATATTAAGAAGTCTTTGATGAAAAAAAAACATATAAAAAAATATGTGTAAAATAATACAATGATAAAGGTATTGTTTACTCTATGTATACGAGTTTTTGCAGTGACCTCGGTGACCCTGCAGTTTGCGTTTAGAACCGGGTTGAAACTAATTTGAGAAATGAACTTTTGTAACTTAATTATGCTTTGGGTGTTATGTGCATTGATAGTAAATTCTTTTTATCTATTTTAAAAATTAACTGCCTCCGTGGCCTAACGGTTACCATGCCGGACTGCCACGCAGAGGTCCCAGGTTCGATTCCCGGGCCGGGAGAAATAGTTGTATGGCCTACAATTATTTCTCTCGTGAGTTTGGATGTAATTTGTGGTTGTCTATGTGTGTGTCCATGGCACCCGCGACACAGGGTTTCCCTAGTGCGCGGCTATGTTGAGTGTGTGCGTTATTTACATATATGTATATGTAGTAGCAACAGCAGAACTCGTTGTGAAAGAGTTCGTGAAGAAAACTACTGCCACCTTGCCTATTGCTGATGCCAAGCAGTAATGGCCACATTATTGCGTTCAGGCCTGTCCATAACAATTACAGTGCCACTCAGAGCTGTAAATCGCAAAGATCTGAGGGGCACTGCCACTGCGCCCGACACTCTGAGACAGACAAGTCCGACGTGCCTGTAATTTCATCAGCACGCTTACCTTTCAAAATCGGAACGCAGTCATGTTCACATTACTGTTTAGCGGCAGAAATAGTTAAGGTGGCAGTACTACCTTGGACAAACGCTTTCACAAGAAGCTCTATTGCTACTAAAGTTATCAGTTGATTGCCAGTCACATTATCATTCTTTTAAGAGAAAGTTTATAATTTCGTAACAAGAACTTACTTAGTGTGTATTGTATTATATTGTTGCGTGCGCAATAAAGTATATAACGTCTTATCGTAACTTTATAACAAATGATAACAATCGGTCTCTTGAACATCGTTACAGAGTTCACTCTGAACTGCATTTGATTGATTAGAAACGGGTCTCCTCACGGGTTTCTTCCAACAAGGGGTTCAGGACATAGACTACTATCGATTTGGAGACTTTACCCGTCATTCAAGGACCATGGACATTCTTCCTGGTGTCAATAGGATGTTTTTCTTCCGCGTTACATACAATATAAAAAATAAAGTCTACATATTTACATTCGGTCCCTGGGATTCAAACCGAAGTCCCTCCATTTAATAAGCAACCACCTGATTACAATCGCTAACAAAATCAAACATAGGTTTCACTACAAGACATTAGTTAGAAATTAGTTTTTTTTTGTTTTTTTTAATAGGTACGGGTTTTTTTTAGAAACTTTTAGATAAATTTGTACAAACGAAATACTTACAAAAACAAAGTAATCACCAAATACTAATCTAATTAAAAATCACATAAAATCACAATAATTTTCACTATAAGAACACAACTGAGTGCAAAAAAATTAAAATGTTCCTTATAAATTAATTTAAAAATTTATTTCCGCGAAATCTGAATGTGAACTAATTTAACATTAAATTAGTACTTAGAACCAGCGCGGGCGCATCCATCGGTTCCATGCCGCGTTTTGTTACTCGTTTCATAGTTCGCTGCCGCGCCGGACCGATTGTGTGTTCCAAGTATTATTTGTGGGGCCACGAAAAATACGATAACGTCACTTAAGCCAACTTAATACAAAATAAAGTATGAATTAAATAATTTTCTTGAAATAAATGACCGATATACAAATTTCATTTAAAAAAACATGATTATGAAAAACTACAATACAAAAACATGATTATAACAAACAATAATACCTTTGGAGGGAAATTTAGATAGTACGGACCAAATCATACAGTGCAAAACTTCTTTCTTTATAGATTTTTTAAATTTATATACAATAATTTCTTGTATATACATGTGAGTTTGTGTATGTATATATAATATACTTGAGTTTTGTTTTTAAGTTTTCAATAGATACTCTTCAATATATTTGCAAACGGAACAAAAACAACGTCATGAATAATTAAAAAAATCACAATAATATTGTTTCGGCGATCTTCGTGGTCGAGTTGTTTGCACGCTGGTTTTCATGGAGTCGCTATCTCTGAGATTAGAGGATTCGATCGCCAGCTGGGTCAATGTAAAAAAAACTAACTTTTCTATACGTATTGTCTCGTGTCTGGGTATTCTGGTACCGTAGTTGGATCCAATTTTCATAACACAAGCGCTTTACTTACTTACTTTGGTATTAGAAGGGCAACGTGTCTAATATTGAAAAAAATATTAACAATCTATGGTACTAACGTATCAATAATCAAATTTATGCATTCAAAAACTAAAATTATAGTTACGATTTGTAATTATGGAGATTAGCAGTCCTCTTCAGTGAGGCCATGTTTTAACATTTTTACCTTATTTCTTTCCAAAAATTATAACATAATATTTTAGTGCTGCTCCTCTGATGATAAAGTAAAATAATATGGTTTGCTTTATTGCTCGCTCGTTTCATAGCCATCGCTGGTACTAAATGATGCGCGAGTGAATTGTAAACTTCGTGCTTTCGGTGCACGCGCACTCTTTGCACTTGCTGAGGTGTTAGCAAGCTGTGAGACCCGGATAAAGATAAACTAACTTTACTGTTTTCCTTGAAAAGAAAAATGTACGCTGTCTAACAGGAATAAGTAATATTTATTTTATTGAATATGATTTGTTTGTTTGTTTTTACTATCACGTTGTTTTTATATTTATTTTTTGTTCTTAATGACACAAAGATTATCGATATAAAGGCTCTGGTGATTACAATGCTCAGGTCACACTGAGGCGGCCGCGGAAGCGTTCCGGGCGCGGGAAATTTTGTAATGTACGAGGTTACATGAACCCTGCCACACTAAAACGCGCGGCGGCCACGCGTCGGCGCCCGGTACGCTTCCGCGGCCGCATCTGTGGGCCAGAGCATAATAGTAGAGTAGTTTAATACTTGTATCAATATGGAAAAAAATATTTATTAGGTCTGGATTATTAATATTGATAATCAATATGAAATTCAAAATTATTTTGTTAGTAAATGCAACACTATTAAAAAAATTATGATGTTAAGAGACGGGAGTAACAAGTCGTAGGCCTGATGGTAGCAACACACATGTCAATAATAGTTGTAGTGCCAGTCAGAGCTTTAAAGCGAACGACTATTGAGTGGAATTTCTTACCTGCAGACTTATTCCCTGAACACTATAACTTGAGCCTTTTCAGGGCGAGAGTGAATAGGCATTATTTAGGCCTACATGCTCCATCCTCGACCTCATTGTCGCTTTCCATCAGGTGAGATAGAGGTCAAGTGCGCATTTATTAAAAAATGCTCACATTATTGCTTGGCGGCAGAAATAGGAATGGTACATTACATATTTACTGGTGCAAAATTTGTTGTTTATATAATAGTATGCTTGGCTACAATTTCACCTAATGTCGAGCGATGGTGGTGCGCGTACTAAAAAAATGCCTGTCCAGTCAACATTGAACAGCCATAATTTATAATTTCTGGGAAATGTAGAGCATTCCGCTTCTTTCTTTGAAACATTCAAAAACAACTTAAACATTAGTAAAAAATTAAACCCATATACTTAATAGCTCTATATCTAGATTAATTGAACGAATTAGAAATTAATACTAGTCATTCAATACAAGCTAGACGCAACAAGTCGTTAGGATAAAACGTTAAGGGTTCAATCGAGATTAAACTCATGCGTCAGTCAACAGATAAACCAAATTCTACCTGACGTACAATCAGTCAACCAGTCACGGCTACTACCAATATCTACCGGCAAATCTAAATTGTTTTATTCTCGATTAAAACTCCTTTTATTATTGATATATAAAGTACTGGAAATGCCTTAATTTGAGACCGTAAAGGTGTGGTTGCCTAGCATGTTCTATTTAATAATTCTTTTACAGTGCAAAGAAATTTGTTTCGCAGAAATTGTAAAGTTTTTTTTTGCCCGTCGTTATACTTTGAGACAATTCATCAAACAATCAACACGCATAAATGTTTTCATACTAGCTTGTCAGTTATGTATACTCCTGACCTGTTTTTCCATATAAACCTTTCTTATAAACAAGAATATATTTTTCCTCAATTTCCTAGTAAACGAGGTATTTGAAATTACAAAACCGCAATGAATATCGGTCACTGCTATGCAATGCATTACACGTACACAAATGAACGCATGATCAGCTGTACCGCACGAGTCGACGCACCCAGACGTGAACGCTCGTTTGTACGGCCCGAGCACGTCTTACATTAACTAAATACTAAATAAACTTATATACTATGTATTTTACTTTGTTTTCAATCACTGCATTTCTATGAGAAAGTAGCTAGTTACTAAACATTTTGCTGTAATATTATTTATATAACTCCGTAATATATAATTTATATAACCTCAGCAAAATGTTTTTTACTATACAGTTTGCATCAAGAAATAAGTACTACTCATTGCCACCTGTAAATGACCGCTGTGCGACGTACCTACTGGATCGGTAACAGAGAGCTGCAACTGAACCCGGGACTGGATGCGTCTCAAATTTCATTATTTTTGACTAGCAACCAGTCTCGGGATCACAGGAAACTTGCATTTGGGCTCGTTCGGGTTACGTTGCAATTTTAAATTGACCCCGGGTTCAGACGTTACGAATCCAATCTGCATAGCATAGTGAACGGCGGGTTTGCTACCATGTTACCAAGTGATACATAGCAGTTGCAGTGCTACTCAGAGCTTTAAATGACTAAGACCTGAGGGGCATTGTTACCGTGCCCATCACCATGACACCATATGTAATTACCACTATTAGAGTTATAATTTGTATAGCACAACATACGTTCTTACTAAAATATCTAGCTTAGTTTGCAGAAGTTATTTTTTTACACAATTAATTAAATTTTAAGCTGTCTTTTTATTTTCACGTAAAAATACCGTGGGTTCCAAATCCTGTAAAATAAAAAACATAACCTTATTTTCTATGCCAGTTAGACACGCCTTCAAATAGACTATTCTATTTCAAATAGAAATAGAGTTAGCATAACTATAAAATTGTTGTTTTTTAAAATTAATTGTGCAATCATGGATATTCCAAATAATTCATATTTCCCCCCTCAACGAGACCACACAGGGTTCAGAATGTGGCGCATGCGTTTATCCATCCAGCTACTGCTTTGTATACACACACGCATTTCTATACTCTGTTGCACGCGTTACATTGAGGGTCATAAATAACAGTCAGTAACGCACAGAATACTCCGACCAGAACCAATTCAGAAATATTCATTTCTCAAATTGACCTCACCGGGAATCAAACCCGGAATCCCATATTGTTAGCCCACCGAGGTTGTCATCCAAACAAATCTAAACTAATAATATAAATCCGAAAGTAACTCTGTCGGTTTCGTTTTCACACCTAAACCGTTGCAGCAAATATGATGTACTTTGGAGAGATAGATGTAACTTAGGAGAAGGACATAAGGAAGCTTTTCTCACTAAAATAAATCTTAAAGGGGGTGAAATAGGGGATGAAAGTTTGTGTGGAGAACAAATCATTTCTCAAGTAACGGATCTGAAAATTCATATTTGTCTTTTGTAAAAAATAAACAATGTTTCAGCATTTATGACCTATTATTTACCCATCAACGTAAAATGAGGGATGAGTGGACTATTTGAAGTACTTATTCTACGTAGACAAAGTCGCGAGTTCTGGCTAGTACTTAATAAAAATTAATCAAAAACAATGATCTGCAACTTGCGCATAGAAATTCCGTGGCTTAGTTGGCATAGCACCAACGTCTTCCAGCAAACCGTGCCACAGGACGGTTGGCTGGAAGACGTTGGTTCAAATTCAGCCAGATCGAAAGATTTTTTCTTAGTGTTCGATCTTTCTAACAATAACTTTTACAAACTAGAGGTGTAATTTCATAGAGATAATTGAATATCATGGTGGTCATACATCGTGATATTCAATAAACTTAAAAATTAAATAAATAAATAACAAAAACTTGTTCAATTTCTCTATGTACAAATAAACGTACACACTCAACATAACCCCGCACTTGTGAAACCCTGTGTCGCGGGTGCCATGGACACACACATAGACAACCACAAATTACACCCAAACTCACGAGAGAATTAAATGTAGGCCATACAAATATTTCTCCCGGCCCGGGAATCGAACCTGGGACCTTTGCGTGGCAGTACGGCATGGTAACCGTTCGGCCACAGAGGCAGTTAATTTGATGTACACTATATTATTTCAGCTAATAGTTAGTTGGATGTACACTATATTATTTTGGCTTCGTTAAGGGTCCTTCTATTAACTATTTATTTATTTATAATAACCATTTTGAACTGTTGGGACATTGTTACGTATATTGTTGGCACATATTTCTATATTATAGCAGATATACATTTTCATTACAACACCATACAAAAAGTACATCACTGTAGATTTTAATATAAGTCCATTTCTATACTATATGAAGTCTATGGCACTCGGTCTAAGTAGTCATAATGAATGAAGTATA